AGGGGAGGGGGAGGGGGCGACGTAGTCCTGTCTTGTAACGATGGCCACGGTAAGGAAAGTGGCTGTACAAATTTCTTCTGTACACATAGGCTTGGTTTCTTCTGGTGGATTCCGATTGCTTCAGCTGTCTGTAGGAGACGAACTCGTAGAGCAAAGTTAAGATTAGTCGGAATGCGATAAATAATTTTAAATGCAGTATTCACATCAACCTATGCTCAGTATCAACAAGGTGTACTAAAATAGAACTACGAATAGATCTTGTTTGTCCCTTGCTTAACCACGCTGGATGATGTTCAGAAATACGACGATGAAACTGCCTAATTGTACGCCCAATGTAGCTGGCTCCTCAGCTGCACTCAAACTGGTAGACACACATAGAAGAGGCAAAATTAGGTAGTTTATCCTTATTTCTCGAACATAGAATAGGGGTGGTTTTGAAGAGACAACGTACCTCTGCTGCATAATAAGCTCTTTTAACTGCATTCTTCAAGCGCTGTGTTATGATTTCGCTGATGTTGTCACCGAGGAAAAACAAATCAAGTCGTCATAAATCAATCCTTGAAAATTATTATTTTTATCATTGTTATTATTGTATCTGAAGTATGTACCGCAGTTACGTGATAAAATGGTAACAATGGCTAGTCAGCAACGTAAAATATAGTGCATTATTGGTAAGCTTGCCAACCACACCCATGCTCTGGAGTTCATTTGTCAGCTTACTCACTCCTAACCTCACCTTGTTTACTAACCAACTGTAAGTCTGGAAAGGAGTGATGGTTTGACGTGAGGCTACCATCCCTATCCGAGGAAAATAACACTACTGCTACTTAAACAATACAAAGGAATTGAAGAAATCTTATCATTTTATTTTTTTGGTTGGATTACTCGTAATTTGATATTATCTTGGTATTTGAGAAGAAATGGAGGCGGAAGATGTGTCTATCGAACATGCACCAAATGTATACAATATTATTACGTTGCCCCGGTTATTTCGCCCCTTATGATATATATATATATACATATATATATATATATATATATATCCAACTTAGGCATGTCCAGCATTTCTGCCATAGGTAACTTTTGAGCTACTAAAATTCTCTATTTTCAACGCAACTGTTCGTAACCACCCTGCCTTTATTATTATTATTTCCCACTGGTTTGACATTGTGAAAGTCTTATTTAAAATTATAAAGCAGTTTAGAAAGTTGAGTGTTGCTGTTTGTTACTGGGTCACTTTTTTCATAGATGTGTAAATTGATGGTAGGGGTAGTCCTCTTCCCTATATTATAGCAGAAATTGAATGTTAGAACAACTACAGAGTTACAATAGCCAAATTACTGTTCATCTGTCAGAATCTATTTAGTCACAATGGATATTATTAAATTGTTCAATAGACGAGAGTGTTCGTGCATCTGTTGGCAATTACGTTTACTTTACATCCTTGGTATCGAAAACTGACTGACTGAGTTTTCATATAGAACTTTTCACAAAAGGGCAGCAGTTCAGGTAGTCACGCTCAGTGTAGCATACAAAGGTAGAGAAAAGATGTAAAAAAGAGATTCAAAAGAACTATAACGAGCAGAAATGTGCAGTAGAAAGAATAGTAACATGGGAGAACATGAGGGTTTAATGGACATAGCAGATCACAAAGAGTGAATGCATCTGTACCGTTGATAAAGATTTTTAACTATAGTGCTGACAGTCCCGAGCCATTAGTTTCCAGCATCCCGAGGACCCAGACTAGAGCGTCTACACCTCCCTACATAGCTCATATCAACTGTCCAAGACTTCATGGATGGATACCAGGTTTGGGTTTGATTACCCCTAACTCTTTCTCACCTTGGCCTTTTGTCAACTAACATTGTTTATCGATGTAGGCGATGGTTCGGAATGCGTAGCATGTCCTAGCCTTTTCAATCAATTTAGCTTCACAACCTCATCAATTAGTCTCTCTTCCTTAACTAACACCTTACCCCTAACCTCAATGTTGCTCATCTTACTGTACCACTTAACACGGGAGATAGGACGTAAACATCTATGGTCAAAAACGGTTAGGCTTTTCATATATTCCTCTTTTAATGACGATGTCTCAGCCATAAAGGAGGACAGAGTGTACCGTTGCGTAGTGCACACATCTTTTTGTTGGATAGCCGGTTATCACATCTACCCCAAGGATGGCGTAAGTTAGCAAGTACCACACGAGCCCTTTGTATACATCCTGAGGTTTCCTCAGCAACCGGTGATCTATTAGGGCTCCTCAAAATAGGTGAAGTGGTCAACACGCGCAACCACTTTACAAGTCTATCTTTCAACTGGTAGTCGGTGCAGACCAATCCTGCAGCAGCATCTTATATTTGACAGGAGCAAATCACGTGCCAAACATTCGAAGACATTTTAGCTTTGAATGTAATAATGTAGATTATTGAAATGAAATAGTTTGACAATATTGTCACAAGTCAGGATTGCAAAAGTTTCAGTAGTGATGATCATTTTATTCTTCAGTTAGCAGAAAAGGTAACTGATAGGGATTCATCGTTGTTGATGCTTATTTTATGCTGTGGGTAGATAAAATGATAGTTAAATTTTTATTGGCAAGGCATGATCTGTTTGCAGTCTGATCATTTTCCAGCAGGTAATATTTTAATTTCAATGAAAGTTTTATGTCTGATATATATGTATAAAATTGGTAATACAGTCTTTATCAAGAGTTATGTAAATTTGATAAAAGGTGCAAAGAATCATTATGGAAAATCAGTCTTCAGGATTTCAACTCTGGTTTATATTCTCTTAGCTTTTTGTATACTGTGTGCTATTTATTCGTTCTGCGACGTTTGAGAAGTAATTAGAGAAACATTGTATGAAGTGATATTGTGGTAGGAAGATAAGTTATGTTGAGGGATAGAATATGTTGTGGCAACGTACATCACTGCTCTGAGTGGGGCTCATTTGATGATTCGATCTATTTGTTCATGATATTTCTAAATGACTTTGGGAACTATAAGGCACTGACAACCTCAATCTCATAGTAATCGTATTATTATGAGCAATAATTTGTGCTCGAAACATTGTCATCAGTAAATAATACTGTACAACACTGTATGATTTTATCAAAGTTTAGCCATAATGGAGTTATACTCTACCTCAATGTCCAAGTTTTATATTAGCTGTACCTTCATGTGTTTCCTCCTATTGAAACGTGACAATTAATGTTTCTTTGAAGGTATGGAATGAAGGAGTTTCTATTATCATTCCGTTTTTCCCTCTTTACCTTCCTTTTACCATTGTGTTTGTAATATCACAATATTATTTTGTGTGGTAAATTTATTTTTTCTTTAACCTCTCTTCTCCTCAAATGTCTTCTACTTTCGCCTCTTTCAACCACTTTAATACATTGACAAAAGAAAGCGGCACGTTACCAAGTTTCTTTAAGTTCTTGTGTTCACAATTCACCCTTATAGGTGTAATTAGTAAATTTTAACTGATAAATTTGATGAAAACTTTAGTTTTTAATGATGTAGAGTGGTATATTTTTTTATTTTGATTTACAGCTTGATTCCACACCGTATTTTCAGTACAAGTATGGAATTTTCAGCATGGATATCGGTAGCCCAAATTCAGGCCGACCATAGATATCGGGTGTGCGCCGGCAGGGGATCGAACCCCGGACCATGTGCGTGGTCGGCGAGAGTCCTAACCACTGTGCCACCTAAGGTTGTCATCAACTCTAAATTCTAATTCGTCTATAACTTCATGTGTCAGAGTAATCTGATAATGTGTGCCCAGATGGTTCTAGTCTTTCATACAACAAAAGAACTCAATCACGTTTTTTAGATTATTTCTAATTATTAATAATGGATGAAATTTATTGCTTCAGATAGTGGATTGACCAATCTCTTGTGGTAATACAAATTTTGAAGTACAAGTACTCTCATCAAATTTTACTAGCTAGAAAAAATTGCCAAGGTGGAAGAGTTAACTCGATTTACAGCAGCACAATCATTGGATATAATCCCAGCACTATGATTAGTAATATTATTCCCTTGGATTCCTAGTGAAACAAAGAACTTTGGCAGCACATCACCATTTATCTCTATTCTCTTCAGGTCTATTTTAGGTATCTCTACGGTTGTCTATAAGTTTTCATTTTCTCCTACTGACCGTTTCCCAGTCGAGTCCCACTCAGGAACATGGCGCGTGACGTCGCTCAACGGCCTCTTCAGTTCATATCCAAATCACCATCATTTCCTTCTACATATTTGTTGGGATATAGGTTCTTGGTTGGTTCGTTGCCAGAGTTTCTTTTTGTCCTTTCTATCCTTTCCTGTCGGCCGAATGACCATCAATATCGAGCGAAGGCTGTTGTTGTTGATGAAAGTCTGCAGTAGCTCGTTGTGAATGCTTTAGGTGTTGCATCAAGTCATCGAATGAAGACACATTAGCTGGACTGAAACTTTTCACTAGCCTGCCATTTCATCTCTCCGATCCCAGCGTAAAATAAGTTTAGTTTTATATTCTTCTGTGTTTTAAAGTTTCAGTAGCAATGGAGTTGTTCTTTACAGAGATGGGACACTAGTCCCATGCCCAATCTTCCTTCTTTCTCCTGATTCAGAATCAGCGAGTAAATTAATAAACCAAACGAAGTAAGCCTAAATTAAATCAACCTGAGTACATCAATAATAAGCTGAGAAACACCCATCGGGTGTTTAAATCACGGCGATTGGACTGTCAAGGGTAACAGATTGATATGAGTAGTTATTAACTTCACTTGCAAGTTAGTAAAATAGAATATTGTCAATAAAAATGTTCTTAAAACTGAACAATAGTTTTTGGTACACTTCTGGACTAGAATTTATTGACTATAGAACTGAACAAACTCAACTTATAGTTGTGAATTGTTCACATCATTTAAGTGTCAGGATAGGCTGGATTGAATTTTATTTTATTGTCACCAAAATATTTTTTTTAGTTTCACAAATTTTTATTTTCCGATTCTTTAGCCGTACATTGAACTACTTAAATCATTCAGTAATATTTTTACGGAGATTTTAGTTTTTAAAGATTCCAATGTGTATTCTTATCCAGGTTTACTATCAAGTAAGTCAAAGTATTTTTGTTTTGTTATACATATAATATCCTAATACCTGTTATTCTTCATGTGTGCTTACCTAATTTTTCATTTTTTAACAGTAATGTAGGTTAAATAGTGTAAAACGTGTAGATGAGGTTGACTCTTACGTTCATAAAAAAAAATGGTAATAGGTATTGGTTGGAGAATTTCAGTGATGACATCGTTTAAAATCTGTCAGAATGCATAGATGTGCTCCTCGAAGGTTCCATGCTGCGGTTAGAAACTTTACCCCTGAGCTATTTTCACTCACGAATAACCTCATTTAAGACTACTGTAATGCGTACACTGATTGGTCACGTTGGAGCAGTTAATGTGTTGGCACCCTGCTTAAACTATTGAGCCAGCTGATATTCTCTATTACAAATTTTCTTCATTAAAAAAATTTTATTTCAACCATTCAGTTATATCCTCGAGTAACAAATGTACTTCCGCACACTTTTAAATGATTTTCACTCTACTGTTGTGCATTTCTTGAAGGAGACGAAGGACTTGTATATTGATCGCTATTCCATTATAACACAATATATCTTATCTGTCCATTAACTAAATAAACAATGTATGACCTTTGTCACATGACATTACACCCAATCAGAATCCAGTGGTGGTAAGAAAAACTACTATGTCTTATTGGTTCATGTGTTAGTTATTTTCTATATACTCTTGTATTGTACGGTTAATTCGCACTCTTTCGTATTTTCGTAGTTTTTCACTCACACTCAGGTGTGACAGTTAATTTTCCTTGTTGGGAAATACACGTATTTCCACTCGGTCACACCATAATATTGGCGACGACACCATAACAGTAATGATTTTGGTAGATTAATTTTCTCCTGATAGATAACTTTAAAGGAAGAGGTTGTGGAAATGTTGTGACCAGTATTGACTAGATGTTCAATTATTGCGCTCCTTATAGCCCACTTTCACCCCTTCGTAACCAAGCAGGATACTGTTCTTGCACCATGTTGGACAAAACCCATGTCGAACGACTGATATAAATATAAATATATCGAAAATAACGTGGAGTGTGTAAACTTTTTGTCTAGAATAAAGCTACTACTATTATACTGAGTTCTGTCAGTTAAACTCCAGTCAACGGCATACTGGCGATGATAATGCAAAAAGTGCTCCGGAATGGCGAGTCTCCTAACTTGGTAAAATTCAATCAGTACCACTAAAGTCTAGCCACGTGAGACACTGCTTGTTACTCTATAAGTAACCAAGCCATGTATAATATAATTGTTGTGATGCTATTGTGTTCTCTGGGGTACATTGTTCAATTGCAAAACTTTCATGTTGTCCTTCTAGACCTAACGTTTTCAAAATAAAGTTTATAGTTCATAATATGTGATATTAGCTTTCTTTCCTTTAAAAGCGGAAATTATTTAGATCACAACATATATTCTCCCTGACGCCATAAAATGCTGACAGCAGCATTGGGTGATGCGGCTTCGAATATCAGAAGGGACATGAGTTCCTCCAGGGTCGCGGATATGCCTTGCTAACGAGTGTCAACTATCACGAAATCCAGGTCAAAGGCTTCCTGCTGATTGCCTTCAACCATCTAATGTCAACAATTTAAAGTGCACCGAGATGACGAACTACCTAGAATGGTGGCCACATTGCAAACTTGACTGGTAGAATTAAATCTGCACCAAACAAAGGACACTAGTTACTAACTAGTGTTCAATTAAAGAACTGTAGTCTATTGGTCCTAACAACACGATATTACTTCGAAAACAATAGTAATTATTTAACTATTACAAATATATATATATATATATATATAACTAGAATCTGAAGAAAAGGAAGTTATCCAAAAGAATAACGTTATTTGTTCACTTGTCTGAGTCTTTTGAAATTTCTAATAGATAAGCTTTAATCAACAATCTCATTGTAGGTGAAAATCAACAAATCACTACTAATAAACCAGAATTATATCAAGATTTATTACTGTGGGTATTACGTGAACGACAATCAGATTTTCCAAAATTATCCACTTCTGATTTATGGGAATTTGCTTCAAGTGGATTAGGGAATATAAATTATAACCTGGATAATATGCATAATAATAATAATTCAATTTTATCGCCTTATCCAGTGTCTTCTAATGTAAATTCAATAAGGGTGTATAGAAATTATCGTTTAATTGGATTATTCACCGTAGATCAACTACTAGTAGAGGATAGTTTCCCGTCTAGGTAAGCTGTGTTTTCTAATGAATGGTTACTATTTTCTTATTGTTAACAATTTTTGTTATCTTAAATTGCATGATGCTTTATACTGAATAATGAATTGATTCGAGTGGTTGTATACCCCACTCACATCAGCCAGTAGTGCTTGCTAGCCAGTCTGATCGAATTGAAATAAACCTCGGACGGCCGTTTCGCTCGTTTGGGGCTGATCTCATCAGCAAAGTGCCCAGTTTGATTCAGTTCAAACCACCAGATTCTGCTTAGCTAGTTACTTGCACGAACTGGAAATTCTCAATTTGAAAATTAATTCGCGATTTCCAATTTACACAGTTCGAGGTGAGATTTCTCCACAGTTTTCTTTGGAATCCGAAAATAATTAGATTGTAATATTGTGTTCTGCTTGATACCAAAAACGGTAATCACGAAAGGAAGCATAATTGCATAGTGCTATGTTCTTCCATCTGCCTGGCGAACACTACTGGTTGATGGTATCCAACTGCTCTTATCGATCAATCAGTAGCTTATAACAACGTGCAAGTATGCTTACTTCTTTGACTGCTACTTATGATATCAAGAAAAACACATCTTGTAATCTGAATAACTTTGGTTTCCAAAGTAAAATGGTAAAATTCTGTGGCGTGTACAGCTGACAGGATTTATCAGTAGTATATGAAGAGACGTTCATTGGCACAAAAGCGTTGTGGCAAAACATGGGAGATACGACAAGAAGACAAAGAAGCACGATACAAAGGAAGGGCAGAAGTAGCACAACATGGAAGACCTGTGCAACTGACGGATTTCATATATGGTAAGCATAATTTCTCCATACGTGCATATCAAACTGCAAATAGGCATTCCGCTTCCAAGTCTCTTGTCATCTCCCGTTACAATCCCACCTTGAACTGTGTAAATTGGAAATAGCGAATTACTTTGCGAATTTTGTTTTGTTAAATTTAACAGTATTTTACTGACTTGTCTATATATAAGTAACTGCCACTGAGTAGTGAAGATTTTACTAGATAATTTTTATGATAGTTTGTTTATTTTTTTATGATTGTCATTTGTATTCAATGTATGGAAGTGTGGCTTAAGTAATTGAATTCATAGTTCAAACTGTACTACATCTGTAACAACAGAAGACAAGGGCCAGGCAACAGATCGTTTATTAAAGAAGATCAACACATATTTATAGATTTTAATGTACATTATTGTAGATTATTGTTAGTAGAAAATACAGTCTTTTGATTGGTTGTTTCTCACAGAAAGTTAACTTTGCATCTCTTTGTGGATGTGTCAGATCATCCATATGCTAACTGTGTCCGCCTACGCAAAGCCTTTGTTCTCATTTTCTCACCACCAATATTGGGGACATAAACATTGACGTCAATTACTGTCTACCAACTTTGGCTAGCAGCCAGCTCTCACCACACATCTCCTTCATTCTAGACAACTGGGTTAGTGGCATAAGCCTTTACATATCGAATGTGACTTATATTACAAGCAAAAATATACTGGGTAGGTGAGAAGTTTTATTAGATTTTAAAATGTGTAAAAGTCAGCTTCATAATCCTACTTCACTAGGTTGTGTCATCAACCCTCACTCAATATGTGTGCCTCATAGCCCTGGTACGTGAAAACTCTGGTCCGGGTAATAGAGGTAATTAAACCACCTTATAGTCCAAATATGCTCATACATTATAACATTTGTGTCTGTGACTATGGAACTGCAGCTCCACTAGTCTAGGCTGCTGAACGGACTCTGACCCTGCCCCACCTGCCATGGTTTTTGCAGTCAGGTAGTAAGGATCACTAGCCTTCACTCATTGTTGACTGCATGGGAATGCAAGTGATTGTTGAGTAACACCTCACATTTATTTGTGCCAACTGCCGGGTGATGTATCATTCTTGATAATTTCAATGACTGACATGGCAATCTTTCTGTCGAATTTATTCGATGATTTGTTTGTGTGCACGTGGATCTCTGATTGAAGTGTGAGAACTTTTCAGGCCTATGATAAATTAAAACCCTTATTAAAAATTTGATTCGCTTTTTGTTATTTCTTCTTATCGATTGACCGTAACAGCCTCTTGTCATATGAATATGAATGGCTTAAATGACTTAAGCAGAGTACATTTGGTCACACTGACGATTTTATGTATTGTCAGTTCGTAGCTAGTTCCAAGTAGCTACTTAGAATTCTAGTTGTTTGAACTGATTTATTCTGTAAGCTAAATAAATCCAAGAAAACTGTTAATGTGATTGGTTTTATAACGAATGAAATGACGGTTCGGGGTTTAAATACCTTCAATCTGGATAAGAAGCACTACTGATTATTTGTGTGGTCGATTTCCAGCTACTCATGACAGCCGGTCAGCAGTATATATCAAAGTGTAGTTGTGTTCTTTTCTTCCGTCAGGATTTTAGTAACCAAACTGAACTGCATGCTCACCTTTTTCATTACTCTGTTGAAAGAATTCTTCACAATGGACATGCTTTTTAGTGAATTTCATTTGTCATCTGAACATTAGTATAGCTAGTAATAAGGTAGGGAATTGAAATACCAAGTGGTTTATTGTGTATTCATTTTTTTAAACACAAACTTGACACATTACGGGCATCAAGAGACACCACACAAAATCTCATAGTTTGTGCTAAGTCTGAGATACTGCCCGGACACCAAGACTGAAGCAGATGGTTGTCTTAAAGGGCCAAACTCAGAGCCGTTGAAGTGTGATCCACAAGGCAGTGGGGTAGCGTCAGGAGTAATGTTCCCACAGTTACTGGTGACTAAAACAGGTTCATACGACATTGTATCTTTCCGGATTTGGGATCCTATTAACACCATAGGTTCAAAATCAGGGTTTTCCAGTTCCCCTAGGTAGACTTGCATGTTCAACACTCCCGTTGTAACTGCCAGATGTTCGCATTCATATTTGTAACTCCCATCGCGTGAAGGCAGTGAGTAGAATTTTCGTGGTAGAGGCTATGAAGCGTGGCCACATGACAGTATTCCGATAGGAAGACTGCAGTCTACCCACCTTTGGCTGTACCAGGTCGTTTTGGTGGGAGGGGGGTGGTTTATTCCTATCCAATGACTGCATATCCCCAACTAAGCATAGATACTGAATAGATTCAGTGTAATACATTATTATGTTTTGGATTCGTTCAGGGTTATTGTATTTCTAATCTACGAAAGGCATTCAACTGATTTCCCTTCTTTATTTTAAAATAGGGTGTTGAAATTTGGACAAACATTGGCATTGAGACGTTTACCGCATATAATGAAGTAAGGCGTATTTTAATATCTGTGTGCATATCTGCCGCGTAATTTTTGACAAATTTAAAATGGTATAATACACCTTGTCTATACCAAAGTATATGTTGAATAAAGTCGAAGTGCTTATAACTATATGTTTTTTATCAGACATTATGACCAGTCTGTGAAGTCCGTGATTGTTAGTTAGTTTGAGTTGCTTGGGATGACGGAAGTGAATGGTTGTATGGTATAATTAAAGAGTTGGTAAAATTTAGAAATGAAACGCAGGCGTTTGCATTAGATAGATATATTTGGTCATATCTACTAAACTACAGTAGGTGATAGTACCAGCTGCATCCACGATGAACAATGTTAACTGACATGGGGTCGAGTTTATAAGGGGTCAGAGATAGCTAAACTAAAACATAGAATCACTCCATGAATTTTTCGAATGGCTGGAGGCAATAGGTGATATGGATCAAAAGTGTTCTCGATGGCGCAGATGCACCTGGTATTTTTGATCTGCGAAATCCATTAAGCCCTCATGTTTTCCCATGTTCGAAAATTTCTGCTCATTATAGTTTTCTTCAATCTCTTTTTTCCTTTTTTTCTCGACGTTTGCGTATTGAACGGAATGTGGCTACTCAAACTTCACTTCTGTACAAAGTTCTATAGTGAAACTCAGTCTGTCAGCATACTGAATCCAATAGTCTATAAGTTGTGAGATAGTAGAGTTACTCACAATTGATATGATTATGAACAATAAATTTTGTTCGAAACGTCATCCAGTAAATAATACTGTTTCACTGTGTGATATACCTAATAAACAACCTAATATAGAGTTACTCACTTTGATCACTGAGAATATCACTCAATAAATTTAGGTTGTGTTGTTGTCTGTTTAACTTGTTTTATACTATGACATCCTCTTTTTTATTGATTTATAAAACCATAATCAGTATAAGTGATAACAATGATATTGAAATCAGTTAATGCTAGATGGAACACATTAAATGATGTTGAAGTTTGAAATATTATCATTTTTACTGAGTATTAGAGCATAATCTGTTGTTGTATGCATGTAGATGTAACGGTTAGTGTTCGTAAATCAATTTAAACAGCGTATTATTATTATTATTATTATACCCTTGGGTACCAAGTGGAACAAAAGGCCTCAACAGAAATTTTCTATTTTTCCTGTTCTCTGTAGTCCTTTTTGGCTGTCTCCATGGTTCTCCATCATGGTTTTCTTTTCCTCACACAAATCCCTCCCTCTGCAAGTTGTATAAATGTTTGGAGATTATTTTTATCTTTTTATCGAAAGATAGCAAGAGAATTTCTAGAAGTCTGGTGTTCAGACTCAGCTTCGGTTAACAGACTTTGAAACGTCTATAGTCTACTTAGGAAGAAAAACAGTCGTTCACCAACCCAGCAGATCACTGAAAAAGCACAATGACAAAAACAGAATCACTCTCGCATGACATAATGAAAAAATCTAGGTTCGAAAAGCTATGAAATAAAAACCTCTTTCCTCATTTACAATTAGTCAAGATGAAATAAAAGAAATGTAAGTGTAGAATTCGGGCTCAGTGGTATAGTATAATGGCTTACAAGATGGATTTATTTGATATATAACTCAGTGATTTAGTTTTAATAAATGGCCTACATTTGCAGCTTAATTTGTCGATTATAATCATACCAATGTATTCACATGACCTCATAATTTGCTTCACATTTTCACATACCTGTTTTTTATTGTCACTTTCCATACATCCGGTATAAGCATTGCCTAAATAAATCACTTTTAATGCTCCTACCCTATCCCACCCTCTTGTCCATTTACATGCAAGTGAATGCATTGCAATACAACTTAGCAGGATCAGTCGTTCTTGACCTAATTTAATTACTATGTTCCGACAATCTGATTGACTTCACAGTAATCACATGGTATTCGGTGAAATATATATCAGTCTTCCTAATTGGATCTATCGGGTCCTTATGCCGGCAAAATGTCTCTGAGTGAGTGTGTCGGTCTAAACAGCTACAGCCTAATTAAAGAAGTGCAACAACACCACTCCCAAAACAATCACTCTTGCATATCACAATAAAAAAATTTAGGAAGAAAGGACTCCGAAACGATAATTTTGTTCCTTATTTACTATTTTTTCATCCCTTCGCTTTCCAAGTGTAACATAGGGCTTCAAGCTTTAAAATTTGATTGGTTTTGGTATTGTCTTTACAAGGTGAGATCGCTAGCCTAACACCCAACATTCCCTCTTTTCCGGGCTTACTGCCTCCTTCCGAACCAGGTGGTTAAGGAATGGGTGGACCGGAAATCAAACCCGGACCTCCTGCGTGCCAAGCGAGCATTCTGTTATTAAACCACTGTGACCCCGTAACTTACTAAGGTGAAATTGTATCATAGATCTCTATCTATAAATGAATTCATTAATGTGCATAGTTAAATCACACACTATTGGAGTTTATGCTTAAAATGTTTTCTTTTGTGTATTGATGTGTCGATTATACTGAATCAAATAACTTTGAAAGTATATTATGAGTTTCCTCCTTTTAATTGTGTTTCTCATTAGAGTTGTTAGCGCCTAACATGTCATAAACATCTCAGAGGGTAAAAGTTCGTTTGGACATAAAAAAGGTGAATAATGCCCTCAACACCTGTTATAGTCTAATCTACTGATCTTTTCTTTCTTTGTTTAATGTCTTGCAGTTGGTTTTGTTTCTGCATTAAAGAAGAATTCATTCCCAGGTTCTTCCCGACACCGAAAGACAGCAAAACATCGGTTCTCTTACTATTCTACACTCTATATATAGTACTTAGTGCTCCCACCATGTTATAATTTAAACCATACATTTTTGAAATTGTTTACTTGTTGATTAGTAGCTTGAGCATTTCAAGATGCATTAACAAAAAAATTTACATCATTTGTGACAATAAAGTTTAAAAAGACGAAATACACTTTGAATTCTAAGTTAATATGATCGTGTATCTGTTTTTGTATTTGCGTTGACCAGTCGTTTGTTTTGTTATTTAGTCAGTGGTTGTCTTAAAAAGATGTGATGAATTCGAGTCTAATTAATTATAGGTATTTTCAAGTGTTAGCTTGCAAGGATTTATACTGATTTCAAATACGGTGACAAACTGATATCATTTTGAAAACTATTGAATGACTCTATGGATTAATGGACGGCTATTTATTCCTAGTCTTAGAATGACTACATTATGAAATTGCCTAAAGTTCTAATGAGAAGTCGTGACCAGTGAAGTCCAATAAGTTGGAAATGAGGATAAACGACATTGGTTGGTTGTCGTGCTACATTTCGCGAAGTTAGAATTGATGGGCCATTGGATTCTCTCCTGGTAACTGAATGGTCGACAGGCTGGTTTCGTAACCTGCACGTCATGGGTGTGTATTCCTGAATAGCCTCAAACAACAATAAAACAGCTGCCCAAGACTCCCTGATGGTTTTCAGCGGTTGTCTAAGTGATGCTACTCCGTGATTCAACTTAAATATATATGTACTTGTAACCTATGATTGCACTTGGATTATCTTAACTAGTTGATTTGCTTAGGTTAATTCATTTAGTTTCATGTATGTGCATATGTGTCCTTACATTTTCCAACAGTCTATGTCTGTTTAGCAAAATATCCATCTTTATGTATTTTTTTATTTTCAGGTATTTTCAACTTGCATGGACTGATGACATTGAAGCTTTAGAAGATTTAGCTATGGGAGTAATATCTACGCCTAATTTTATTGTTGTAGATCCTCTTACTCGAGAATTATTTATGTATCTATCAAATCATTATTCATCTCATTCGTTATTACTTGATGAAAGTAATCTTATCAACTTTCTTATGCTTGTTAATGATGGCAAAGTTAAGGTAAGTTCGAAATAATCCTGTAATATGATTTTATTTGTGTCATTATTTTGATTACAGTATGATTTAAAAATATAAAACATTCAGAAAACAAAAATATGTTTTGATGGTTAACACATTATTAATTGTGCCAAGAGGTCCATTGTGTTAGCGTGTGTGTGGCTGGCTGCGTGGGTTTATGCGACTGGTTTCCAAATGCCTAACATTCAATAGTATTTATCCTATAGCTTTAACGTTTTACCTACTTTTTATAAGGTTCGTTTGTTTTAGTTTCAATAATGTGGATTTATGAAGGGAACTTTGTTAATATATCTCACACCAAAGCTTATACTTGCTTCAAAGGTTGTTGTATTCCTTATGCTACTATTCCGTCGTATTTCAGTGCTTTAAACCAATTTGAACTGAACTGTACACTGCTGATAAGCTTCTCACTAAACAACCGAAACAGCTATCTGATAGTTAGATAACTCTCGGATCTGATTAGTCAGTTTGTTGGTTGATGGGTGTCAGTGGAAATGGTGCTACACAACAGCCTTAAAATTATAATACAGTCTCACAGAGCCAAAACGTTTTGCTTTGAAAAGACTTTAGAAGCAGAAATTAAGCTGATCAAAGAGTATCTAAGTAATCATGAAATCCATCGTTAATATGCTGTAAAGCGGAGTGCAACGGGCCGGTTCTACTTAATTCTGTGTGGAAGCAAATAAGTGAAAACAATGGAAAAATGGTTGTCTACCAGGATAGTTATATGCGTACCGCAGAGTTGACTAAAAGACTCGTATAGGTTACAAGGCAAAAGCTGTGGTGAGAGATGGCTGCTAGCCAAATTGGTAGACAGTAATTGACGTCAATGTTTATGTCTCAAATATTAGTCATGTGAAAACAAGATCAAAGATGGACAGCAAACTTTGCGTAGGCGGATACAATTAACAGATAGATGATCTGACACTCAAGAGACAGCAACAAAGAGATGAAAGATTGACTTTTAGTGAGAAACAACCAATCAGAAAACTGTGTTTATCAGCTAACAATAATCTATAATAATGTACACGAAAATCTATAAATGTGTTGATTTCATTAATAAACAATCGGTTGCCTGACTCTTGCCTTCTGTCGTTACAAAGCTTCTGAATCGTGTTGTCATTATTATTCCCTTGAGTTCCAGTTGGAACATAGGGCTTCAACAGAAAATTTTGATTTCGTCCTGTCTTTTGAAGTCACCTCCACGAGTGTCCATAGTCTATCATCTCCTCCTCACACCATTTCCTCCATGTCACCCTCAGACGCTCAATTTGTCAATCTCCATTCGCGTTCCACTCGAGAGCCTGGTGTGTCCAATCCATCTTCATTTCCTTCGACACATTTGTTCTAAATTGTAGTTATTCTTCATTCCAATTAGTTTTGGAATGATTACTTTTTCTGATGCTCCACCTTAATCTCTTTTATTGCATAAATCTAGAATATGTAGTTGATTCCCGGTTTCCTGCTTGGTTGTGAGTTTTAATATTTGGGTGGAAACTGATGAACTTCAGGAACAACATTTTGAATATTAATAACTTGGTAGAGTATTTTTTATAACCATCTCACTTTTATGGTGTATCGTATAAACTCTATGCGAAATTTAAAGGAAAAGAATGCACGGGGATATGGTGAATAACTCCATGTACTTCTGATTGATTGACATTAGTAGTTAGACACCACTCATATCAGCCAGTTGTGTTTGCTAGCCAGTCAGATCATGGTAATCTAAACATTTGTCAGTCTCACTCTTTTGAAGCAGAGCTAATCAACTATGTATCCGGTTTGGCTCAGCTCACAGAGGGAATAGCATCCAACTATCCGTACCAATCAATCAGTAGTACGCAGCATCATGTAATTATTTTCGCTTTCTTAATTGCCATTTATGGTATCAAGCAGATCACATATTGTGTTCTCAACAATTTCAGCGTCTAAATGAAACCGTGGTGAAATTCTACCTTGAACTGTGAAAATTGGAAATCTCGAATTAATTTGCTAGTTGAGAATTTTATGGTTCAGCTTATTCGTGATTGTTCAAGTGGTATATGGCTACTGAATAGTCTTGTTATCAATTTGGTGTTGTATGCTACTTATGTGACAACAGATAGAAGTAGTGGTAGTGTGAAGAAGAAAAGACCACGGAGGCTGAAAGGAATGTTTATTTGGTGAAACGTATTGTACATAGGTAAATTTGTTATACCATATTTTCAAACCGCCATTTGCACATCCTTGACGAATTGGTCGAATATCGTCACATTCGATAGCTTCTTGGATTCTGCATCATATGGCAACATTCTTCTCATGGTTCTCTTCTTTGATTGCTCTTTCCAGTGTGCCAAACATATTGTTACTTCGTTTCTGATATACTACTTATATCGGATTATAAGTAGCACTCACCACACTCGCCCCCTCATTATAAAGTCTCTCCTGTAACCGCCTTGATCGCCGCACAGACGTTTCATCCTGCTGCTCTTCTGGTACCTCGTCTTAACATTCTTGTCTCCATCTTTGTAGCAGACTGGCGTTTACTCTTTTCTCTTTATCTCCTCTCTTTATTGTGTACACTGGACCGCGTCTCGATGTGACCTTATATGGTCCCTCCTGGTCCACTTCGGTAGTATACTTTGGTTCTCTACATTTCACCTGGTCGCCTACTTCAAACAGCTTCCAAGCTTTGATTTGTTTCTTGCCAGAATTTTCGATGTCTATCTTTCGCTTCTCTTGTATATTCTGAATAGCTTGTTTCCGCTCACTCATCCATCTCTTACTGTTCCATTTTGTTGTTGTGGCCAAGTCTTATGGTGCACCGGTAAACGTGGTTTCCTCCCATACATCAGCTGGAAAGGCGACTTTTTTTGTCCCTTGTATTGTGGCACGATGTGCCAGTAATACCAACGGTAAGTCAGTTTCCCAGTTGCCTCTTTTCGCAGCTAGCCATTCCTTGAGTGTACGATTATTCCTTTGGGTTAGGCCGTTTGTCTGCGGATGATACGGAGTCGTTCTAATTCTCTTAATACCCAATGCCTCCAGATGAGTCCTGAACTCCTCACTTTCAAAACAGGGGCCTTGATCTGTCAATATCATTTTTGGTACACCATGATCCGCCACAATATGTCGAATAACCGCCTCGGTTACGGTCTTGGCGCGCTGATCTGGAATCGCTACAGCATTTACCCACTGCATGGCGTGCTCCATCATCATTAAAATGTTTTGATTTCCTCTGGCTGCTTGAGGGAAAGGACCCATTATATCCACGGACCATAAGTCACCAACCGATGTTACGGGTATCGTTTGTGGTCTTCATTCCTTATTTCTAAGCCAGGAGTCAATATAGTCCAGTCCTGTAGCATCATCTCACATTTAGCGAGAGCGAATCGCATGCTTTTGGAAGTGTGTGGGCGGATGTCACCTCCTGGCGGCCAACACCCTGGAATTTGATTGATTCTTCAGGTACCTGAAACAGTAAGAGAGTTAGTGTTGTGTAACCGTAGAGCCCAGGGGACAACTGCTTGAGGCCGGTCACACACGATCCGTCTGAACTGGCATTCTGGTTTGGTTCGTATTAGCAACTTACCGCCGGTTACGGACCACCGTAGGGTAAGTCGGAATGTACAGTTTTTGGGGTCGATCTTTTCTAACCCCCTCTTTCCAGAGTGGAGAGACAGCATAACTAGCATACTGGTCATCTGAGGGAAACATCCTACTGCTGTTACATCCCTACTCTCCAGAAGTACGACTTCTCCCACTGACCGCCAGCATAGTGTTAAAACAAAATGTCTTACACTATGCCGGTAACTGCTTTTAGTTTAATCGCTATCCTAACAATCTTCCTGGAGTGGTAGGATTTGCAGGGCCATTAGTTCCAGCCAGTATAGCTTGTTGGGTCATTGCGATATGCAAGCCCAATCACTACGTCATGGTAGCAGCTATCAGTTGGGTGTAGACTTCCTGGTTGGGATCCGTCGGATGGATAGAGACAATTGATGACGTGTCTCAAAATCGTCCTCAAAGGCGTAGATGCATTCACTCCATTATGGATAAGACTTTATTTAGATAAACTACACTGTGTTACATAAACAGTTATGCTCTACCACAGTGCCCAAGTCTTATACTTATAGATGCATATACTCTGTGATTTATAATCAATGAAATTCTGTTGTTCTTCCACATTACTGTTGTTTTTGCCTCCTGTTTCTGTTTATTGTCTCTCTTCTCTTGCTCTGTGTGCTAAATGGAGTGTGGCAACCGCTGCAGATCTATGCAAAGTTCTACGTTGAAACCAGTCAGTCACACTATCAGCTTGTCAATTTTGTGATATTTGTAGTGCTTATAAAACAGCATATTATGTGGTATATGCATATTCTCCAATTAATTTAATAGCAAAATGACAAGCAAGCTGTTATTTCATTTGTTCATACATATTAACTAATGAGCAGTTTTGACGGCCTCCAACCAAGTTGTTGCCAGTGTTATTTTATGCTACTTTTTCATTAGTTCTTTTGTATTTGTTTCACTATTAATATTACCATTTTTTAATTATGATTTTGGCTGCATTATGATTATACCTTATTTAACCATACTAAATATAAAGGCTGTCGGTGGTAATACAATCTCAGTGAGATTACGGCGCTTGGGATACAATTTCGTAACAGGTGTCATTGTAAGTAGAACAGTAATTAATTTAATTCTTTTATTACTTTTAACATGGTGGCAGCCGACGAAGTTTCAGTTAAATAATTTATTTGATTAAAAATGTCCATTAAAATTTTAAAAAGAATGGTTACTGAACAGAAAAATACTCTTTTCGATAACTTCATCATCAGGTTCTACATTTATATATACACAATAATAGTGAATGAATTGGTGTTATGAACAACATTAATGCTGTTTAAATAACATCGAATCAATAATGTCAATAGATTACAGTTCAGTAGCATCAACATAACAATAAACTGAATGTTAGAAAAATTAGGAAAGATAATAATACATATTCATGAATTTATAGTCTGTAATGAAGGCCACGGCAGTAGTAGTTGCTGAACTTGCTTCTTTTGCACCCAAAGCACTGGTTGTTTCATGCTAATTGCGATAACCTCTGCTGTTTGAAGCATGCAGTACTTCGATGTTTTTGGTAATTTATTTGGCACTCGGTAGATGATAGAGAAGGATTCTTCAATGCTGGCTTTGTGGCCAGTTTGGACCAGATTGTTTAATATCGAATTGTTGATGGCTTTTACTACACCTTTACTTAGCCATACTGGGAGATGTTCTCGAGCACGAAAAATCAAGTTCCTAGAGCAACGGCATATAACTCGCTCCACAAGCGCAGTTGAATTGGTAGATACAAGTGGCTAGTATAGGTACTTCATCTTCCAATCGAGGAATCACCATCGGTCTTGTAGAGAATAAGACGTGTAGTTTGTCAGCATTAAAAGTTCTTTGAACTGATTTTCTTAATTTTTTCGTAATTATATCGCCCTTGAATTGCGGTCGTACGTACAAAGGCATCTTGTTTACAGATAGTGAGTAGTCCTTTTCCGCTTTCTTTGTCATGTGTTTCTTGGTAAATTTGTCGGGATAGCTATTTTCAACCAAGGTATCATATTGAGAAAATAATAATTTGCTTTATTCCAGAACCAGTACTAGTGGTACAGTGTGGAATTTTCAGCACATATCTACAATATTGCATCTAATTTTATCAAACATTTAAAAGGAGTAATTCAAAAAATAAATATAAAAACAACAAAAACAAAAAACAATGCTTAATTCATCTTCAGTTACTTCTTCTGAGCATATAGCTCTAACCCTGTGGCTGAGGGTCTTTACTAAATTTCTTTTGTACTGGAGAGGAACGAAGATGTGAAAATGTGTATACTGTCCTGTCCATGTGCTTTTCTTGTGCAAATTTCTTTTTATGCTACCATCTGGTTTTCTTGTAAGGAGGACATCCAGGAAGGCAATTCTGTTTCTGTATTCCTCTTCGCACGTGAATTTCATAGCAGAATGTACTTCATTGAATTCAGTTATTATTGTGTTCCTATCCGAATCATTACAACAAAGAATAAAGGTGTCATCCATATACCGGCAAGAAAAAGAGAACTTTCTGTAAGGTTGTTTAGAGGTCCATTTGCTAGTTTACTTAGAAAGAAATCTGCCAAAATGGGACCTAGTGGAGAAAAATTCAGATTCGTGAACAAAGGACATCATTTTTTTTTGATAACTTTGTATCCATCATCTTTGAATCTCAGTCACGTATTAAAATGGCTTTTGTTTACAGAAACAGAACATCTTTTTTCTACTTGCTTGACCATATGTTTCACTCTGTACTTTTCTGGATAGCTATTCTCAATTAAAGTGTCGTATACAGTCGTTAGTGTCGGTGACATAGCGGTTAGGACACTCGCCGACCATGCACATGGTTCGGGGTTCGATCCCCGGCCGACGCACTCCTTTACCTCGATAAACCAGTAATAAGACTGGTAAAGAGGGAAGGTTGGGCATGAGGCTGGCAATCCCATCCTGTAAAAATAAACACTGCTACAGAAACTGCAAGCCACCAGCTTGAAGCCCTATGTTCCACTGGGAACGTGAAGGAAAAAAAATGCAGTCGTTAGTTTATTTTCAGTCGCATCTTGTGAATACTTAGCTGTGACCTTGTAGCTACGTGTTTTCACCAGATTTGTTTTGTACACGAAAAGAAGGAAGCTATTGAAATATGTATATTTTGTCCTTTTACTTGTGCTTTCCTTGTGTGAATTTCTTCTTAGACTGCAGTCTGAGGAGGCAGTTTTACTCTAGGATTCTTTTTCACATGTGAATTTAGTCTTATTTAAACACACTAATGTTTTTAATAGCAATAATTCTCTATCCACTGTAGGTATTATATAACTGTAGAAGCTGATGTAGAAATTATTGAAAAGTATATTTTTTATTCACTAATCAGTCTTTTAAAACACTAATATGCATAATACGAATTATCATTTTTGTATAAAAAAGCGTAAATGTAATTAACGCTTCTATTCCATAGCCATGTCATCTGGTGTTCTAAAAAACCTCTTATATTTTGTGCACACATTTTTATTGAGTGACTGATTCAGCGAATTTACAAACCTTACGAAGTTGCCCTGTCAATTGATTGCAAGATTTCTGTACAAAGTTATTCATAAACAGGTCTGTAGGTGACTGACTATCTACACCTTTGTTAGTGGGCTTTTTCCTTGTTGTACGTGAATAAATTAAAGGGTCAGTTCTGTGTAACTGAATAGCTTGTTGGATCTCTTCAATTGTGGAGCTTTGGTTCATCGATCTTAGTTGTCGGCTTCTGACCAGTAGTGGGTCATGGATTCAAATCCTGTTCCATCCACTGAGGTTCGGTCAGTCACGTAGTGTCACTGACCCTCACTCATACAATAGGTGTGACACATTGGCTCAGTTGCGTGGAATTACAAGTGGTTGTTTCATTTCTTCTTTAGGTTATCCACGTAAGGCTTATTTTTAATGCTACTAGGATTTGTGCTGTATTGTCCGTACAAAGAACCTCACTACAGTTCTCCAAAGCCATGTGTTGATAATGATTGATTGACTGACTGTATTATATTTATTTTATCAACGTACATACATACCTGGCAACTGCAGCGGCTCTCTGTCTTAAATATTATGGTCCATTTTCGATACACTTTTTTAACAGGATTAAATCTAACTAGAGGAAATCGAATTTTCATTGAAAGCAACATGAATAATCTGTTAAAATTTCGTGTTCATGCTAATAATTCACTTGTATGTATTATTTATTTGTTTCATTTATTATTGCCGTTACATAATGAATTAGAAATTCCTTATAACACGACCATTCATAGCCATGTTAGTTTTTGGCATCCCAATAATTATGCTCAGTGGAATCATTTACTTATGTTGCTGCCTGGATACCGATTATGCTAACTACGGTGGTGATTATAATGGCAATGAGGAGGCTTATGATAGAAAATTATCCTGTCTAAAAGTCAATAAAAACATCAACGATTCTACTGATTCAGTTATTGACACAGATTCAAGTTACGTAACCACTAACGATCACCATGCAGGAATAAATGTTCATTCGCGTAGTATTAAAACATTTTCATCCTCTTCTAATCATCGAGCACTGCATCCTAGCCGGAAAATTCTAAATATGGGTGAGTAACTTGCATTTCATTTTTCTTCTTGTGGTATGGTATGGCTGTGGTATGATTCTGAGTAGAGGTCGCTAGATTATTACTTGTCTCCTTTATGGCTATGAGAGGAGGGTCGTCGAAAGATGTGAAAGGGTTATCTGTCTTTAATCATGGATATTTGGGTTCTGTCTGCAGTATAATATGGTGAGTAATATTAATGTTGAATGGGAAGTGATGGATAAGGGGAGCAAGTTAGTCGATGGGGTTGTGAAGCTGCATCGATTGAGATGGCTAGTACATGTGTGATGCATCCTGAATCATCGCCTACTTTGATGAGTAGTGCTAACTGACATATGATTAGGTTGAAAAAGAGTAAGAGGTGGCGAAACCAAAACATGGAGTCGGTCCATGAGGTCTTTGACTGTTGCTTTGAGCCATATTAAGGGGTGTAGATTGTCTGGTTAGGATATGGCGCAAAGTCGTTTTCAATAGAACGTATCCATTCACTCCTTTTAATCTTTCAGACTCATTAAACCCTGCTCATTATATCTGTTTTGAATTTCCTCTACTTTATGTGCTACATGGAGTGTGGCAAATTGAACTTCTGTGTTAAAACTCGGTCACCCAAAACTTTGTTGTCAAGCCAACTGAGCGCAACCATAACATTCTTTCCATCTGAATGGTCGATTAGGTGTTAGCGTTTCATCATGATAAACTTGGCTTGTAACCTGTATAACTGAACTGTATCATGAATTGTGGAACAGTAAAGTGATCGTCTTGAAATGTTACGCGCCTAGTCTGAATCCCTTTTGTGTCGTAAACTAGGACGAGACAGCTAACCACTGCACCATAGATTCTAATTGTTCTCTAACTGATTTCATTGATATATATAGTTGGGAAGGTTCGTGTGTTGGGTTTCTCTGATAGGAAGCGGCTAAAACCCGATTAAACAAGGGGCAAGTAGAAATTGACAAAGTAAACCATTAAGCCGAAGCAGGATATTTATTATGCTGAGATTAGACAACCTAGAAGCTCGATCGTATGCAAGCAGTATAAATTGGTTATCTGTTAGCTTTACTTTTCGGGGTACGTGATATTTATAGTGTACTTTCGTATAATAAAGTTGAATTGTTCTCACCAATACAGACTAGCTTGTCTTTTGTTTTCATGAGCTTTGGATGCAGAAGTAATCGGTGATAGACATTAGCATCGGACACATAGATCAGTAGTATTTATTTTATCATGTTTACATTTCATGACTTCATGGATTTAAAAGATACTCTATTCTATGTGGTAAAAGCTTTTAACTGCGATAGGACGACAGTATAGATCACTATTTCTATCCTCTGCTTTAATCTATCCAGAATAACTGACGTGAAATATTTATTTATTTATTTTAAATTTTCTTTTCAATCTATTCATACTACTTACACATTTCAGGTCCTGTTTATTCAGAAGAAGAATTAAGACAAAGAATTAAAGATTGTCGTGCGAAGAAAGATAAATAAAAGAGTGATGATACGCAGGTATAACTTTGATCACTCAATCTTGGTGACTCAGTCAGATACACACACACATAAATACACTGGCGCACTTAAGAAGAGACTGAGACACATTATTAACACATTATATTCTGTATGCATAATGACAATCTGTCTTTTGTTTCTCATTTTAAAAATACACTAATGTCAAATAATATTGAATAAATTGTACTCAATAATATATCGTGACATATTTAACCGCTTCTTGGTTTTATCATTTCTGTAGGTGATAATCCGTGTGCATTTATCTATTATAGTGTATTGCTCTTTTATTCGTACTTTCTATTTCTTACCAGTGTTGATTTTTCTTTTCTTGTCTATGTATTACTAATTTATTCAGATGTTTGGGTGGCGTTTATAAAATTCGTTTACATTCCGAGCGGAAAACTAGGCATCAAACTGAAATAAGTAGAATCGGCTCATCTGCATGACCTATTTACATCATTTCTCCTCCAGTAATGGTGTTGCGTTTATTGACGTAAGCATTCGATATTCAAACCGACCGGTCTTAGGTCCAATCACAGCTTCATGTATTCCAGACTGGCTAACACCATAAAGTGGAACTTTGTTCAAGGAGCCTATGCGCGTCAAACACGCTTGCAAAAAACCATAAATGTGGTAAGTGCTAGAAATACTACTGGCTACTTAAATTTCGGTAGGTGGAGAGGAGTTCGAACTTGCGACAGTCCTAGTACCTAGTCTAACTAGCCATAGTGGCAAGAGAATTATCACATCACCAGTCAAATCTGATGCTTACATGAACAAAATATTTTGCGATACAGACTAATTAAAATATTCATTGAGTAAGCAAATCACTTCATGTATTATTCATATCATCACTAGTATTTTCAAGAATAGCACGAAAAAAGTCTACATTTTTGGTAATTGTTGGCCTTTAGCTGATTTCAGATCTTGTAAATATTTTTTCAACAATTTCATTTCTTGTGATTTAAGTTTCCCAGGTTGATCACCTTCGCCATTCTTGATTATTTTTCTGCCAAAATTTGACTGAAAGAAAACAAATACCTAAATGGTTATTTAAATAATAATAATAATGGTTTAATAGTGACTGGCTGAATTTCAGCATGGAACTTTACAGAGAAGTGTAGCAGCTCAAGTTACTGCACTTTATATAGCACACTTAGGTAAAGAAAGCAAAGAAAAACATTTGAAGGAATTATAATGATCAGAAATGTTTATTTTATTTTTTTTCTATTTTGATTTACAGCTTGATTCCACACCGTATTTTCAGTACAAGTGTGGAATTTTCAGCATGGATATCGGTAGCCCAAATTCAGGCCGACCATAGATATCGGGTGTGCGCTGGCAGGGGATCGAACCCCGGACCATGTGCGTGGTCGGCGAGAGTCCTAACCACTGTGCCACCGATGTACGTAAAAGAGAATAGTAACATGATAAAATATGACGATTTAATAGATATAGAAAATCACAAAGAGTGAATACGTTGGCGCCATCGAAAACGGTTTTGAGCCATATCACCAACAGTCTCCAGGCATTGATTCTTAGTATCCCAAGGACGGGGATTAGGGAGTTTACGCCTCCCTACGTGACTCGAAGCAACAGTCAAAGACCTCATGGACTGATTCTATGTTTTGGTTTGTCCACTCCTAACTCCTTTCCAACCAGACCCTATGTCAGGTAACATTGCTTTTCATGCACAACATATGTCTTCGCAATGTTGCTTCGATTGATTTCCCTTCTTTACTTAACACTCTACGCCTAACCTCAATATTACTCAGCAGTATCATTAAAACTTAGGATACACGGTGGCAGTTGTTTGGTGTTTATTCTCCGAATTTTTCAAATTCTGGATCAAAAATGGTTTTGAAAATTCCCAGAACACTAGAAAAGTTGCCATCCATACGACAGGGCATTGTCACCGTTGAAAATCCTATACCTCGAATGACTTGAATGTCTCTTCTCATTGGAATAAAACCTTAGTGCAACTGATATCAACAGCGTTTAATAGTCACAGTTCACCCCACCCCTACAATCACTTTGATGTTAATTAACTTATAACTGCATAAGCTCATTTGAGGTTAACAACTATACAGAAGCAGCGAAATTATTATTTCTTTTGTAGTATTATCGAGAAATTATTAATTAATTCCATGTGACAAAATCACTACCTTCCTACGTAATGATGGTGTGATGAGGTTTAGCGAATTTCTGACACATTTTACACCACCATTCATTGAGATAAAGAAGTAGCCAGTCGAGAAATCTTACTAAGTGCGATAAAATGTTCCTTCTGGATGCCACAGTTTTGGTTTTGTACATAGTTATTATGAAAATAATACGATTGAAACATAGGTAGTCGCTATTACTCTAACTATCTCTAAAACTAGTTACCACGTATCAGTCTAAAGATGAAATGAATCACAGGTGCACAAAAACGAGGAACACAAATAGTCGCTCACCTTTGGATTTACATTAAGAATTTGTTCAGGTGTATAAGGCTGAAAGTCCAGCTTAGTTACAGAATAACAATCAAGTTTTATTGATGGTCTTGTGTAAGGTGGTGCTTCATGTTTAAATGACTTTGGCTTTGGATTGGACTGTAATTTAGGAAGAAAACAATATAAAAGTTAGTTTTAGGTTAGGAGTAGGTCAACAAAATTAGGGAGACACCAGGATTGGTAAGGGACCGGTTAGGATTAGGTTGTTGTTTGACTAGGTGAAGACTAAGCTAAGTGTTGAGTTAGGCATACGAATCTGCTTTTGAGCCCAGCGTCGCTGTTGTGTTCGTGGATCGCTTCTCTTTAATTTTACCGATTACACTTGGTAGGAGATATGAGAAGGGTACTGTAAATGTCTTCGTTCAATTGCTGACTTTGTAGAGAGCAACGTGATAAGTCTTAATGAGATTAGGTTTCATACTTTCTCATTTTGAATGCAGTAAAGCATTACCCATACGTCTTCAATATATGAACAAAACCAAAAAAGTTTACTAACCAACCTTAGCATCATGTCCTTGAAATTGATCACGTTGTTCGGTATGAAAATAGCGTTCATTTGTCTCGTGTAGTTGAATTTGTGCTTTAGGAGGTTGACAAGGTTGTACAACCGGATGCATAGGATCGACGCTATTCCTCCATGCACGTTCTGGTGGAAAGTCCGCATGAAATTGAGTTTCTCCATAAAATGGTTTAGTAGCGCGAGGTTTGGAAATATTTGATATCTGAAGTAAAAGAAAAATGAAGAGTAAATGTTTAGGAGATTCTGTGCAGACAGATATCATCTTAATTTCCTTCGCATTGAATGAAAGAAAGGTATGGCGTCAATTAGCACAAACATATTTTTCAATTCAAATAAAATAACTTCATGAAACCAAAGTATCTACTGAATGAAGGCTAGATGTTTCAGAAATGAGGAATTACTTTCCAATGAAACCTAACTGTTTTTATTGTACCACCTCTTGTGCGTTACACTATAATATTTGAGGGGAATTTTCAAATTTAGCTATATATGTGGGATTGAAACTTCCTTTTTGGGTCTCACATCGCAGTCAGTGGTGTGCTGAGTGGTTACTGTCGAGGTTGTTTTCGTTTGAATTCTCCTAAGAATCTGATTTCCAGTCAGCTTCACTTATATTCCTTCTTAAAACGCTGCGTAAATGTAGTATTGGAGCGTTTTATAAATATGAAAGCTTTTGAATCCAGATTCATCCATCTTCTTTTCATGAATGTCGAACGTTCCTACCATATTTTCAGAATATAATTCTTGCGCTCCCTAGTAAACCTATTAGGGCCATATTTTCAAACAAGAAATTTTAAAAGGTTGATTTTCTTGATGTTATTATCTTGTCAACAGTTGATGTGATGCCATCGATAATTGATATGACCGAGTGAAATTTTATATGGGTACAATAATACTGACGCAATAGACAACTCAGCGGATACGCCTAGTTGACCTTAGTACCTTATACTTCACTGAGCCACGCAGATAACAACAGACAAAAACAGGCCTGTGACTGCTGGGGTGAGAAAAATTTGGCTAGGGCAGTGGAAAATAGATTGTTCTGATCGGTTGGCCCAGGACCAAGGTAAGAAAAAGATGAAGTTTTACAGTGAGGCCAAGGTCATTCGACTACAAAATGATTTTCGCTGCATCCTATCAACTATGTAGATTTTTCAGATTGTCGTTCCAAACCTGCAGTTAATATCGGCTCCAGAATGCGAATGGCATTGTCCATTCCATGTCGGCTCTTGGTAAATTGACCTCTGGAACTTTCCACCATTTTCATGTTCCATAGTAAATTCAATATTTGTATGTGCGTCGTTGAATAATCCAAGTAGATAGGAAGCATGACTTTCATTGTTGCACACTACAAATGTGCCATCGATATATTGACAGTAGGAAGTTTTTTCCTCAACTACATGCTTCAACTTCGTTTTCTCAAGGTTGAACTTGAAGATATTTGCGAAAACAGGGCTAAGTGGACTTCCCATAGCTACACTATCTGTTTGGTGTTGAAGAGTGATGTCAAAGTGGCATCGCACATCCATGGTATACATTAACAGTAAACTTTTGAACTCCAACTCTAATAGTGGGAGAAGATCAGACTGTTGACAAATGATCTCAATAGTTTCATTGATTGGAATCATTGTGAACAAGGAGGTTGCATTAAATGACACCATAAACTTATTTGAGACATGTGGTTCACACTTTTGGTTAAATGAAATGAGTCTTTCAGAGTGTGCACGGCTAGCCATTGACTAATGGGATCCAACTTTTCGGCAAGCCAACGAACAACCTTATGTTGGAGCGAGTTGATCATCGAAAGTATAGGTCTCGGGGGGAATTGTTTTTTGTGTGTCTTTGGAAGCCCATACATGTGGGACAAATGGGACCCTCGGGGTTTCAATTCATTGTAAGTATTGTTGTCAATCAATTTCTTCTTTAGAAGATCTCTCAGTACGTTCGTGATGCGTTTTTCAGCTGCATCTGTCTTATCTCTCTGGCAGTCGTTAACTTTAGATCCATTTTAAGACAACAGTTACTAGGCATAATAATAATGATAATATCAATTAATAGAACATAATGATTTACCTTTGGTCTGCGTAAAGGATGTCCGTTGATTGGCTTAGCAGTATAAACTGCCCTGTTAGTAGTCATAAAGTCTCGTTCACCTTCAACACGAAGATTTGTAGGCATTGGTTTTACCGGTTCAGTGTAGTGAATCTAAAAGTAATAGTTGTAGATAAAAAGATTTTATATATACTGCAGTATGCAGTATAAGCAGTAAAATAGCACAGTGATTGTTACTAGTGAAAAGATTAGCGTTAATTAAACAACTATTATAAGTGGTTACTGAACAAAGAATATTCTTCTCGATAACTTCATCATCAGGTTCTACATATATATATATATATATATATATATATATATATATAAACATTATAGTGAATGAATTAGTGTTATGAACAACATTAATGTTTAAATAACATCGAATCAAGAATAATATCAATGGATTACAGGGAGAAGCATCAACACCTGGTCCAAACCGGCCACAAAGCCAGAATTGAAGAGTTCTGCTCTATCATCTACCGGGTGCCAAAAACATCGATGTACCACCTGCTACAAACAGCAGACGCTATCGTGACTGGCCTTAAATATCCAGTGCTCTGTGTGAAGAAGCTATAAGTCCAGCAACTACCATCACCCTGGCCTTCATCAGAGACTATAAATTCATGAATTTGTATTATCTTTCCTTATTTTTTTTGATATTCAGTGTATTGAACTGTAATGCTGTAATGAACTGCTATTGAACTGTAATCTAATGATATTATTGATTCGATTTTATCTAAACAGCATTAATGTTGTTCATAACACTAATTAATTCACTATAATGTGTATATAAATGTAGAACCTGATGATGAAGCTATCGAAAAGAGTATTTTTCTGTTCAGTAACCATTCTTTTTAAAATTTTAATGGGCATTTTTAATCAGTTATTATAAATGGCGTTATAGTTCGAAGCCTTGATACTTTATCTGTCAGACAACTTGTTCACAGTTAAATTCCGTAAAAAAATATTTATAGACATGAAGCAACTCTGAAATTTTCAACAGTGTGCTATAATTTCTCTAAAGAAAAGACTTGGGATTGTTAGTTGTTTTAATAGAGCAATGCTTCCCAACCTCTAATAACCAGTTCAGGAAATTACATTACTGTACCCCGCAGTGCTATCGATAAACAGCTACCGTCAATACCCGAAAGTTAGTCACTGATAGTTAGTAAGTTGATATATTTTTCTTAACAGAAAATTAATGACAATGATAAGAACTTTATTCTGGACAAAATGTTTACACAGTGTACAGAACTGTCGGCGTAATTTATTGCATAATATTTTCTCCTTATCCAGGAACTCCAAGTAAAACAGCAGCTGATAGTATATCATATGACGCAATACTGTTAAATCTGAAGCATAGAGTAGTCCCTTATGATATATTTCCTCCACCTCCAAGATATGTCCTATAGTATTTTGAAATCCAATAAAAATATGCATGGGTACACTTCGAGACCCAAGGACATAAATGATTGGTTAAAACAGTAATAATTAGGGATGGAAATTCACATAGCTGAGTAATTCAAATAGGACGCCAAAGAAACTGAATCAAACCCTCAGTAAGAAATAGTTATGAACCTTACAATGTTCTATCTGATAATAAGTGGCTTTGTCAATTTTCACCATTAAGTCAATACAATGAAATAGTTCAAAGATTAAAAAAATCCAACCTACAAGGTTATGTCTGCACTATTAAGAAGAAAATCAAAATAGATTTCTACCTTCAGAGGGGAGCAATTATCAATATTGTATTCAACTGATAATTAATAACGTTGTCATTTTGGTTTGTATAAACTCTTGACAGTTGTAATGCTTCTTTCCCTTTCGAATCATTTTTATAATTACCAGTTCAGATAATTACATCTAATTATCATACAACAGTTTCCTGCTTCTATATTAAATTAATATTCCCCATTGAGACATAAAACAATGAATTCAGCGAGAAAAATTCTCTTTTCGACGATTTTATTTTCATAGCTATACAATCGTCTATATACATGAATTACTACAGACAATACCAATCAGTTTCGTGTGTGTGTGTGTGTGTTAAAGTTCGACAGTGAGTGGAAATACTAAAGTGCGATAATATTGGTTTATAGGATTGAGTCACATTTGATCAGATATATTAATGAGTAACTAAATAAGTAGAGGCCAACCTAAAGTTCAATGGACAAGTATGAAATAGATGATCGGAAAATAAAGCACATTCGGAAATGTAAATATATTATGACGGAGAGATAGGATGAATGAAATGTCAAAATAGTAGACTAGATAAAATGTTAGAACATGATTACATAAGGTGAAATGAAGTGAAACAAAAATGGAACACGGAATAAAGAAGGATAACAAAGTTCTTAAGTGAATTCCATAGTAAAATGAAGACCATGGTAACGGAAGAGATCGTACAAATTTTTTTGTACACAAAGTTCTTGTGTTATGTTATGTATTGCCAAAGTCTCTGCTATACACAGCATATGAACTCGTGCCCCTTTCGGTAAATTTTATCGAACTTTGTAGACTATATTAAACAATGTGTCATATGCTGCGTGGTCAGTATGTTATGTTCACAAATCCGAATGTACTTTATTTTCCGATAATCTATTTCACACTTGTCTGTTGAACTTTAGGTTGACCTTTATTTGAAATGATTAATTCCAACGTTTCGTCCAGTAATGTGGTCCAAACTTCTTCAGGGAAATTAATCGAAATTGACATAACAGAGGTATATTTATAAAAGGACATATCTTGCTTTTAAAAACTTTGTCCAATAATATGAGTCATGTAACAGGTATCAACATGTATAATAAACAAAAATGTGTGAACTGTGATCAAAATTTAACCTCAAACTTTAAAACACTAGTCTACTTTTGTTAAACACTTTAAACAGTGTACTTTTCATCAGATTACGTTCGACTAAAAGTTCATGGTCGTAGAAAACTAAATATGAAAATATGTATATATGCAATATACAGCGGTGTCTGTGTATTTGTGTATGGGTAAACAGTAATAAAACATTTGTTAGCCTCTCCATAAGATATAGACAATCGGCAATTTAGACCAAATATGATTAATTAGTGATACATATCCTTTTTTTATTTATTAATCAGGATTCGCCATGCATCAGCTAACACTACACCTTTACGTCTCTTCAAACTGTTGGGATTCACCCATATATGTAGGGCTTCTGAAGTCAGTCTTTCTTTATACGGACTAAAACCTTTCTGTAGCATCTTAGTCCTATCAAAGTCGATTTTGTGTCCCGTTTCTATCGAATGCAGTGCTATCGCTGATCTGTTTTCTAGCTTCTTTAAGTCTGCAGAGGTCTTTGGAACCACCTTTAGACATTGTTTATATTCTTTCACTCTTATATTCACTTGTCTGGAAGTTTCTCCTACATATACGGCGTTGCAATTGATCTGGTACACACAATTCTGTTGGTTTTCTTCTTCTATTTTATCCTTAACCTTCACCAGTGATGAGTGTAAGGTTTTAGTTGCACGAAAATACATTCTGATGTCATAATTGTTGGGGATTCGCTTTATCTCATCCGACGTTTCTTTGATGTAAGGAATCACTGTTGTACTAACCCAATTCTTAGCAACAGGTTTCGATCCATCCTTTTCCTCACATTTTAAATATCTTTTTTATGAAGGCTTTACGATAATTATTTAATTCAAGAGTGGACTGAACCAATTTTAGTTCCTTGTTAATCTCTTCCTACTCAGTAACTAGACGTTTGGCTCTGTTAATCAGATTCTTGGCCATAGTTACTTTGGTGGTAAAGCGGGGTGCTCAATAGTAGTCTAGGTATCTGTCCGACCCGATTGCCGAACAAAACGCTGGAACTAATCATTTCAATTTCGCTGAGATTTTACAAATATAATTTTTACAAATATCTACTTATTTTGGAACTATTCAGTCAAATCTTGATCACAGTTCGTATGACCTCGATTTATTTGGTTACTCATTAATATATCTGATCAAATGTGACTCAATCCTATAAACCAATATTATCGCACTTTAGTATTTCCACTCACACACACACACACGAAACTGATTGGTATTGTCTGTAGTAATTCATGTATATAGACTATTGTACAGCTATGAAAATAAAATCGTCGAAAAAAGAATTTTTGGAAAACAGAAAGATTGAGCGAAGAAATATTTACTTTTCAATTAGATCCTCATCTCTGGCTCTACTCTTATATATATAGCATTTTTATTACAATACACAACAATTTACCGAACAAGTGGTGATATGTTTGTTAACAATAATTAAACAGTGTGAAAATGTCAATGGGTTGATAATTAACGAAGAAAATCAATACAAATTTAAAAGGTAGAAATGGATAGAATAAATTAATTTTACAAGGATAACACGTAATTAAAGATGAAGTGATCAAAATAAAAATAAAATAATTTGGACAATTATAATTTTGTAGGTTTAAGGGGAGGGGGAGGGGGCGACGTAGTCCTGTCTTGTAACGATGGCCACGGTAAGGAAAGTGGCTGTACAAATTTCTTCTGTACACATAGGCTTGGTTTCTTCTGGTGGATTCCGATTGCTTCAGCTGTCTGTAGAATTATAACTGTCCAAATTATTTTATTTTTATTTTGATCACTTCATCTTTAATTACGTGTTATCCTTGTAAAATTAATTTATTCTATCCATTTCTACCTTTTAAATTTGTATTGATTTTCTTCGTTAATTATCAACCCATTGACATTTTCACACTGTTTAATTATTGTTAACAAACATATCACCACTTGTTCGGTAAATTGTTGTGTATTGTAATAAAAATGCTATATATATTAGAGTAGAGCCAGAGATGAGGATCTAATTGAAAAGTAAATATTTCTTCGCTCAATCTTTCTGTTTTCCAAATGTCTAAATGGGGATATTTTCTTTATTAAAAATAATTTCTTTTCTGTGGATTCTTTGCTTGTATATTATAAAACCTACAGTTACCAAACCAACAGTATTTGAGTCATCATTATCCGTGAAAAATTACCAGTTGTGTGTGATCTGTACAACTTGTCGGGAAGTTGAATGACATCAGCAGAGTTAGTTATATATTAATTAACTTAAGCGCAGATTGCACCTTATGCATTTGGAAGGTGGGTGCTAATCCACAAGCGTCAAAAAAGGACTATTCACTGCTTGTTCTTATTGTTTCTGAGAGTACTTTATAAATTCCTCACTAATTAACGTCGTCCAATATTTCTTTAGGTGAAGTAAACTGAAAACAAGATATATATATATATATATATATAATATATATCTGTATTCACTGAATGTAGAGTATTCAGATGAGGAACTCTACCGAAATTTGATGAAATTTTGGATCCTGCCCTACTAAGATGTGTTGCTTGTTTCAGATTCGTATCAGGTAAATGTTTCCAAAATCCTGTTTCCTTCTCTTGAAGATAAAATGACTAGAAAACTGTTTATCAATCGTTTATAATATTCAATTCAAAATGATGTAACACAAAAGATGACAAAACTTTGCATAAAATCAGCTCGTTTGACTAATTAATTAACTATCTGTCGTTTAAACAAGACTGCTAATCAATAAGACTTACCGGTTTTTCAACAAATGTTTCATGCGTTGTACTTAATAATCGACGACTTTGACCAGGATATAAAATAGAATCTGTGAAGACTGGCATGTCACCGAATCGAAGTATAGGCTGTGAAATTTCCAAACTGGAAGATTTATTAGTATGGTAATTACTGTTGTTAATGTTATCAGATGTTAGATGACAAAATGTATTTCTATATGTTGTCAATGCGCTGAACGGTGCTTCAACATTATGAGTTGACAGAAACTGATGGGTCTTAATTTCAGCATTCTTCTGTCGCTGGTGTTGACCGTTCGATAGCCCAGTGGTTAAATTATTCTCTTGTGAGCCTCTTAGTCTTAATAAGAATTCTTCAGCATCTTTAGGAAAATGCTGAATTAATTCCAGCAGTTCACAATCGGTTATTCCATTGAACTCATTAGAAATTTGTTCAGATGTCATATGATCACGTATTATGCTATTATTATCTAATGGATAGGTATTTTTATCTCCACTTCCTGCTGTTTTACACACAAGTATGCAACAGTATTTGCCAAATTAAAAGATTGAAGACTAAAAAAGAAGAAAATTCAGCTTAATAAATATTCGTAGCTTCAGGTCATCGTTGGCATTAGCAACCACTAGAATCAATCAAAGTGCAGACTATACATTGTGTATCAGTGTGTGTGCATATTTCTCGTAAAATATTATTTATTTTTCCGCCTATATGAGACAGAATAATCATTTTATCTTAATTTCAATAACACGAGTAGATTGACACAATTCGGAAAACAAGTCTCTAAAATCCCGACACCTTTCCTTCAAGATTACTAATTCCCATTCTTTGATACCAGGACCTACGACAGAAAATCTCCGTCTCGTCCTCTGCTATGAAGTGGTCCTAACGTGGCTCCCAGAGTGAATAAAAACCTCTCCTCTCCTCCCGACAATATTTATTTATTCGAAGAGCAGCTAAAATCTTAAATTCTCAAATGAATCAGGCGCGAATAGTGGGCCGCCAGAAAAACCCCGCACCCGAAGAGATAAACCCATCACAAATTCACAGTCACACAAATCAACAGCAACAAAGAAACACTCTGCACACCACTCTCAGTAACAGATGCTCAACAAATGAAGACTTATTCATCAGTCAACATCATCTCCGAGGGTGCACTCCACAAAATCAAAAACCCAACACGACCACTCACCTAGACAATAGAACAGAGCAAAACAAAACAAAACAGTCTTATTATCATCTCATAACGCATACAACAACATAAATATACACTGCAAACAAACTAATTATTTACTCAGATAGTGTTGCACAGATCGCAACCGATTCAGATAATCAAACATTCCGTGCATACACACTTTCATCATTCCCCTTCAACATATTCCACTGCTCTACACCTCATCACGCATTCCAACAACCAACAAACAAAACCAAACCAAACTGAACACACACACACAAAACACTCTCAATAGTCATAGCAAACACTCACAACCTGCACACCGTACAACCAATACACTAACAAGCATGCTTCCGTCAAATCACTCATACTTAGCCAACCTACTCACACTCCCATTCACTCACTTCACACACAAAGCACTAACTAACACTCACAACTAGACATCCATCATCACCACCATCAATCAACCTCTACTTCTCTACACACACCTCACCACAACGCCAATAACGCAAGATAGACACAAACATCAAAACTACACATTAACACTAGCTAGCTAGCATCAGTCATTACTAACTCACCTTTTCAAAGGAGCACTGTGACACCACCATCAGATTCCACAAACCCTATACTTCCTTCAGAAGAGACGAATGACGACCTGAAAAAAAACAAGCAAACAACAACAAAATACAAACCAACTTTAGTCAAAGCAATCAACACACGCATACACCTGTCAAAAACAAAAACACAGAACACTATCAGACAAATGCCTCAAAACTGACGGTCACTGATTAACACCTCACACTCGTCATCTATTTCGTCATCACTAACAAACAAATATGAAGCCTACACTACATAAACAACAAAGTACCCTGCATTCATTCATCCACTGTTCCATCCATCCAAGAAGGGATCTTCTCTTGAAAAATTTAAAGCAATTAGTTCCCTTTATGAGTTTCGACAACAGAATAAGATGTATTTTATGTGAAACGTGTAGTGTATTTACTCAACACATTTCGCACGTTCTGATCACACACGTACTGTCATACACATTGTTATAGAAGGCATGACTTATTACAATAGAGGTCAGATTGTACACAGGTCAATGTCACAAATAATGAGTGGGGAGATGACGCAAAGATGTGAGTAAGAAAGAAAAAGACAAAAACAAGAATAGGTTGGAGATATTATAAAGTGAATTGAACATTGGTTACAAACTGGATTACCAAGGCAGGTTAAAAGTAATAACAAAATATTTTGGACATAAAAGCACGTTTAAGTCCTCTAGCTGAGGGTCTTTACTAAATTTCTTTTGTACTGAAGAGGAACGAAGCTGTGAAAATGTGTATATTGTCCTGTCCATGTGCTTTTCTTGTGCAAATTTCTTTTTATGCTACCATCTGGTTTTCTTGTAAGGAGGACATCCAGGAAGGCAATTCTGTTTCTGTATTCCTCTTCGCACGTGAGTTTCATAGCAGAATGTGATATATACACTGATGACTCATCAATATTGATTCTGTCGCACCTGCATGATTGAATTTACTGAATTTCCATTGATTGTTAATGATTTTAAATGTGACATTGATTTCCCTAACCGTATTAATACGGATGTCTGGGCAACACCACCAACAGCAACAACAACAGACAACAATCAGTATAAATGGAAAGAACCTGAAAGAAACAACCTCTTTTACCTACCTGGGAAGCATCGTTTCAACTACAGGCTGAACTGATGAGGATATCAAAGCAAGAATCGGAAAAGCAAGACAAGCTTTCACTACTCACGTCAAGTCTGTGTGGAGGTCAACAGCACTCAGCATCAAAATTAAGATCCGGATTTTCAACTCCAATGTGAAGTCAGTGCTACTATACGGATCAGAGACTTGGCCAGCGCGTCATAAAGAGCATCTCAAACAAACTACAGACCTTCATTAACAGTTGTCTTCGCTCAATACCACTCAAGATCAGATGACCAGAAAAGATCAGCAATAGGGATGGATCTCTGGGAGCGAACCAACCAGGAACCGATTGTGCATCAAATATGCAGGAAGAAATGTAGGTGGATTGGCCATACTCTGAGAAAACCATCAAGTGACGTCACACGATAGGTTCTCGAGTGGAACCCGAACTGGAAGCGGCGAGTTTGTAGTCAGTGCGAGGGTGACATGGAGGAGGTCATGTGAAGAGGACGTAGAGCCAGGTGAAAACGTTGGCAGAGAACCGAACGCAATGGAGACGTGCGGCTGAAGCCCTATGTTCCTGTAGGAATTAAAGGATACAATAATAATAATATGGTTATTTTAACAGGTGAAGATTAGTAATACAAGTCAAGAAAAATTAGGTGTTTATGAAATTAGGGTAGTAACAAAGGTGGTGAGTTGTGACAGCTCATCACTACATACATACATACATAAAGCACACACACACACGGACATTTCAAAGACACTAGTTCACACCATATGCGCTGACCCCAAAGAATAACGCTCATCGTCAAATACTTTTCAGAAGACAAACCACCAACTACAAACACAATAATACACTACTCACCTTGTCATAAACCAACGCCAGCCCACACGCGCTCACCTCACACTGAACTCTCTCTCTTTCTCACATTCTCGCTCAAAACACTCATACTCAAATCACTTCTCCCACCACCTGCAACAAAACAAATCACAGTCATATCACCACCTTCACCACACTTCTGCCCATCGACAAACCAGCCATCTATCAGAATCAACACAGTTCATTTACAAGCAATCCGACGATGTTGGTAACACACCATATACATCAACACTATACCCAACCTACCTAGCCATAACAACATCAACTCACCTCTCTAATTCATTCGAACCTTCACACACTTCGATCCTCCCATCTCCAGAATCACCGACAATGGGAACACATCAGCACAATCATTATTAACTAACCACATACACATACTCATCTACAAAAAATCAGAAATGCGCGATTCACGGCAACAGTATGTCCCACCTCGCCCGTCGTCCCTACGATTATGAGCATACGCTGTGCTTTTTGTGTAGGTGAGGCAATAAAGTCCGGTTGGTATGATATTTTGTACAAGACGATTGATGATACCTGAATCAGTTTTTGAGGAATCCAGCAGTTCAAAAACAGAAAGACAGAATAATCTATACAACTTTAGCACAAGGAGCAACAGTCACACTAGGAAGAGAAGCAGAACGCGAGCTCGATAAGAGCGTGTATTTGGTACAATGGCAGAAATCAGAGCACAAGTCAAGCCCTCACAAACAAAACAGTCTAACTGTCATCATGATATTCAGTTTTGATAGACGTTGAGCCTCTTGCTCCACGGAGTAAACTCCTGGGTATTTTCCTGAAAGGGAGAAAAGATAACAGTGTCAAGTTCTCTACCTATATTTTGTTAAACAACAATGGGATGAGGACGACTTGGGTGAGTATTACAAGCAGAGCATGTGGTGGCGTCATCGCTGAATAATCGCATGAAATTTTCGAGTGTCCAATGACACATGCTGGAGATTCTTTTATATTTGCTGTTGATGTCAGTAGGATACGAGCTTATGTCACCTTTTGTAGTGAGTATATGCGCTTGCATGGTCTCTTCTTGATCGAATCAACTGACAGCCTTGACACTACCTCGTCTGCGACTGAGTTACAAGAGTTTATCCAATATCCAGGTGTGCTTGCAATATTCTGCAAAGTCTAGTTTCTAGTGATCCCAATGCTCGATTTGATTAACGCTAGTGTAGAGGATAGCATCACTGTATCAATACCTTCTTTGAAGGTATGACCTTCGAAAAGGGGAGGAAGATACAAGAAAACCGCAAGAGAGGTGCAGAAGTATATAACAGGTGTTAATAATTCAAAATATATAACAGACACTGGATTCATTTTGTATTGTTTTGTTTCTTTAAATATTATTTCACCGATAGGTTTTGGTAATGTAATTCTACAGTCTTTCTTGCTAACGGTTAGTTTAAGTGAAAAATGTGGTAATCTTACCTACTTATATGGGTGAGAAAGGAGTTGAACACAGAAGTCAAAGTGCGTGAAATGCATAGAAGTGAAGCGGGGGCTTAATAATATCTACTGTTTTTCCGATGTATACAGTTAGGTGTCTTTCTGAACTAACCAACTCATACCATGTACTTGCATTCAGGGAGTTTATATTTAAACTCCAGCTTTTAGGCAATTTTCAACTTCTATTTCTGTTTTAGTTATTCACTTGTTTTGCAGAAGTCATTTAAACTCAGGAGCATTAGCGACAGAGTGTCACCCAGATAAGAAAATGCAGCTCTTAAAGTTAGCTCTAAATACACTGCAATCTGTACACCTTGTCGCAAAAGGCTAAGCTCTCGTAAAACGCATATGCAATT